CAGAACGTAGATCATGGATACAGGAATTGTAATATTAGCAAATTTTACTCAGCATTAAAGAACACCACTGCCTTAATCAGAATTACAGGTTAAAAGCCACTTGTAACTACATACTCGCTGCTCCTTCAAATGTTTTGGGATTTGAGCCTCTCTTCAGAAATTCCACAGCGATTCGGCAGAATTCTCCTACAACTGAAACAAAATTTATTTTATCACACAAATGAATATTCACTACAGTAGCAAAATTTTCAAATAAAATTGCCCCTACTTCACAACTCTTGTTATCTTACCACGTATTTTCCTCATTTTGGTTATTTTACACCACAATGATCGATACAACTGATATCGCATTCCAATACAATAAACTGCAGCATGTTGTTTTGCAGAGTGTTTGCAGACAAACCTCTCCGTGATCTGCCAAACAGCAAACATCTCATTTTTAGGGCATGAGCACCTTAAAGTATGTTTCGGAAAGCAGTCCAAAGTCAGCTAGGTTGGTTAATGGTCAGGAGTCCCATATCAACCAAACTAGGTATGAACGCCAGGGAGAGGGCCCTTTTGTGGCACAGTGGCAGTGTCACTACTCCTAGACTGGGGGGCCCAGGTTCAAATCCCACCTTCTCCAGTGGTGTAATAACATGTCTGAACAAATACCAATTAGAAAAATAGGTTAGAGATAGTAGGAGCTGCAGATGCTGAAGAAGGCTCTAGGCCCAAAATGTCAGCCTTCCTGCTCCTCTGATGCTGCTTGGCCTGCTGTGTTCATCCAGCTCTACATCTTGTTATCTCAGATTCTCCAGCATCTGCAGTTCCTACTATCTCTGGCAAACATGAACAGACTGCTTTGATTTTACAATCAGGTAAGCAACTTACTTGCCAAAGTATAAAATTGTCTCAGGTTTTATAGCCCCATCAAGATGAAGATGAAGCTCCACCTGTAACAAAAAAAGAAAAATTTGATAGATGTGTGATTCCAACTTTGTTATTCTAAATATGGTACTGCCATAACTACAGGCTGTACTATGCATCTCAAGTAATGAACTGCATTAAATAAAGTGTGCTTCTCTGTCATTCTTGCACACAAATCTTTCAAGTGACCTTTAATCTTGTTTGTTGATGTACACAATATCTCCAGGTGATAAATAATTTGCAACAAATCACAAAATGCATAACAAGTGCAAAGATAATGAACTTTAATCCTAAAACAATAAAGTCAATTGTTCCTATTTTTATGCAATGATCTGAATCAGTGAACTAGCTAATAATAGTTTGCTTTTTGTACACACCAGGCACAACAAGTAATGAAGGGACATTTATCCTGACCCTTGTATTATATAATCAATTCCACATTATCTTGTTTACACAAACCTCAAATTTATCACGTTTTGGACTATAAAAGGTTCCAGCAGGTCAGCAGAATGTAGGGAACTGAGAGTAAGGAAGACTTGAGAGTCTCGGGATCATAGGTGGTGCAGGATTTGGCAAAAACATTAGATTAACCGATAAAGGAGTTAGTAATCCTAATTAACAACCCAGGTTGTCAGGTCATTAGCTTTCTTCCTATATCACAGTTAGGTCCTGACAATAAAGTTGCTGGAATTGTCATCCTGTGGACCCTTGACATCGTTGCCGTGACTCTTCTCAGGAGACCCAAGGGATCCTCAATGGGAGGAGATTTCTCACATTCTATTCACCTCTTAATCCACTGACCTTCAATGTAACAGAGAATCCAAGAGACCATGCAGAATTAGGATGTCAATTTTCACTTCTATCATTCAGCTTTAATATTTTGGGAATAGCCTCGAAATGGGAGCGGGGGCCACACCAGCTCTTTAACTCCAAGAAGCAGCTCAGGAGGTGACATCTTAAAAGTGATACAATGCTGGTTTTTTAAAATGTCAGATATTAATTATCTTCTAATAAACAAATCCTAGGATTCTTTTGACATTTGTATGCATGAATTGGTTGGAATGTGCACCATATACATTCGGACCAGTTCAACAGATGGTGGAGCCTAAGCCCAGCCAATGTAAGGTTGCCTGGTCGGGTTGTGGAGAAGTTACTTCTCTAAGCCTCACAAAAAACTTGGAAGATATCACCCTAGGATCCCTGCTGTCTCTGCACACACCCTTATCTTGCAAGTATTAGGGATTGCTCTGATTTAGAAGACCTGCTCTGGACAAATGCTTCATGACACCCATTTGGCTCTGCCCAGTTCACCAGGCCTGTAAAAATAAGGTCAATACCTCAAAATCACAAATACAGTCAGCAGCTCCTCTCCCCAAATCCTAAAACCTGACTTTGAATCAGAGAGTTTCCTCATATCTTTATGGCTGTAAAGTAAATTAGGGAGAAATCTCTGTTTGAATACATCTTTCCATTAACTCTTGAAACATTCCAGAATTTCCAGGAATTCAAAGGCAATACCCTGGATAATAAGGAGATAGGCCATTAGGACAATCGTCATGACAACAGATCATAACTCCAGATCACATATGGGCATACTGAACTTTAAATAAAGCATTTTTTTTAAACAGAGAACATATGGCCAAATTGACAGAGAATGTAAATATTGAACAATGTAACTCAATGACCGTCTGGAAGGCCTGTGTGAATTATCAACAGCTTCAAGGGAGACCATGGAATGTCATATAATATGGGTGCCATGGAAGCTTCAAACAGGACTTCAAAGAGAGAAATACACTGCAAACTGAACTATAATCCTCTATGAGTTATCTCAGACTGTGAAAACAACTTGAGAAACATGTGAAGGACATGTTTGTGTTTTCCACTTTCAAGAATATACGAGAACAGTTTCAAGCCTGTTCAGTACATGCCAGTAGGTGAATGTGTGTGCTATGAGGATCACAGCTGATAAAAGCCCTGGTGATCCTTGTGCTGCAGGTACAATTTTGGATGACTATCTCTCTCTCTTGCTGAAAGCCAGAAAGCAAATGAAACTACAGTTGAAAGGCAACTTGACAAAGGCCTTTCAGATGGTGGTCATTTACCTATATCCACACTACCCATGGCATCCAACATAACAGCCACAACGTTTTCTCATCTCTTGTCATTGAACTCGGTGATTGATCATATTAATTAGTTTTTGCGCTCACATCTGATTTCTAAAGTGCCTATGTGTTGCATTATTATTTATTTTTGCATTTAATAACTAATAAACTCACTCTTCAATTAGCTCAAGAAAGTCTGGTTAAATTGGCTCCCTTTAAAACATTCGTTTGGCCTGGAGAAAGACAAGGGATCCTTGTTGCATTAACCTTGTTCCAAATAACCGATAGGGCAGATGAATAAAGAAGTCAGTTCATTTCTCCTCACCCTGGTGGTTAACAGTGCGGGTGATCCAGCCTGAAACTGGAATAAATTGACGAACTTCACCCGTGAAGTGTTTAAAAAAAAAACACTTTTTTTAAAGTGTATTCATAACTATTGTTTCCTTATAAAATATCGGAGATAAGGCAAAAAATAGTTTGACTAGACCAGACAGTTGGGAGTTTGGAAACGGTCACCTCTCGCCTATCCAAAGTGGGGCACTTTTAACACTTGAAATGCATTATGCATTTAAACCGAGTCAGAGCAGCCGGATTCTTCTAGTCCATAAAAGACAAGCTCCCAATTTCCAATAGTGCTTGCAGCTTAACGCTGCCTCTCTCACTGGCTCATGGCGCTCTAAGCAGCAGCTGTACGCAAAATCCGGTCTAAATCCGGCTTGAATAAATTTCACCCTTGACATTATCATTCTAAAATCAGTTTAAAATGTGCTAAAATAAACACATATGAAACAAGACAAAGCAAAAATCGTTATGGCATTCTGTCATTTTGCAACACTGCTTGTTTCAGGATATTGTACAACTGCACAAACCTGTCAACGTCATTTCTGGAAGGAAACATGCCACAACCCGCTCCCAGAGAAACATCTTGGCTCACATTGTTCAGTGGTTTACACACATCAATCCTGCCTCAGTGAGCCAAGAATTAACTCGGCACTATTGGTAAAGCATTTCACTTTTAACTGCAAGATGTGGGGGTCCCGCCACCAAGTGCATCAATGCGCCAAAGCATTCCCGTAATCTACAGGAAGCAACACCAGGTTTGCACTCTAAATGCATTACTTCTCAACTCCTCATCCCGGATGGTCTTAATTTTCAGCAACTCATACACCTATTTTTTTTGGAATGTTTAGCATAACCTATTTAAAAGTACAAGGAATCGCACAGGACAAGTTCACCTTACTCCGACTGCTTTCGATTAATCGAGATCTTCGTTTTCTATGACTTGCACTAACCACGGGGCAAACACGATTACATCTAAAATAAAGCCGACTGCTCCGATCGAGGCTAAAAGGTAACTAAGTGATCATCCTTCGAATCCTTTCGGTGTAACTTTAACAAAAATGAACATCAAGATAATTCAGGACACAACCAAATCAAATATTAATTTATAAAGAAGCCATAATCCGTCTTTGGCTCAGTAATCATTATTTAACTTTATATTACGATAACGCATAATAGGGGATTACAGTTTGGCTCGGTAAAGTTTCAACTGCCTCCTCGCGTTTCTTACCCTGGGTTTGTTGAATATCTGTACATTGTTTGTTGAGTTGTGTGCCATGTCCAGCCTATTTTGTTTTCTTCCCCCAGTGAGCGTGATATTTCAGAGACGCAAAATCTAGATGGTTTTCCCCCTTTTCCTTTTGGGCAACCAACAGCTCGACTTCCTGCAGCCTATGTCCATTTTAAAGACTTTCGTCCCGCCTTAGTTCCGCCCACAAATCCAATGCGAGCAAATGTCACAACTCAGAACCTCCACTGCTTTTACACACACTCGATATCTTTAGGGTAGTTGTGGGGGGGTGGGATTGTTTAGATCATGGACAGGGGTTGGCTGTCATGCACATTCTATCAGCTGGTCCCCATTGGGAATCAGAGACAAAGTGAGTTCCTTTTTGGAATTGAAGGCTTTCTGTCAAACGTATCCTTGGCTACTACTGTTGCGTCAACAGCTTGAAGAGGCAGATACCGGAGTTAAACAGTTGGGCTGCATGAGCTACTCCGCGTGAAACTCCAAGAGAAATCCAGAGTTAGGAACCCACCGGAACTTTGCGGATAGACACCCAGATTTGTCAGAAAGCACCTGGTGTCTCATCAGTTGAACTTTTTCTTCATCTGCTGACCATCCTGTGCCTCCCAAGCAACTTTCATGTCCCAGACTGTCCCTCTTATTCTGGCAACGAGGGAAGAGAAGGGGCGACTTTAACTGTGCTCGCCCAGCAGACAGCAGGGCCTTTGGCTCTTCAAGGCTGCTGCCTACCTGCTCATTGCCATTTATTCCACTCTTTAGCAGTCAACCTGCTGAAAAGCAACCGGGTTGTAAAGTGTGCAAATTGGACTCCATTGCCTTCACTGGCGCCTGACTGTGATTTGAAAACTGGTGACACTTGCGGGGAAGTTATTGTGCTTTTCATATCTGAATATCCTACCTGTAGCCAACTTTGGAGCCAAAGGTGTCCAGAAAAAGGCAAATTTTAATTAATTCTCTTTCTTTCTAGGCCAGGAGGTACTGTGGGTGGAATACTTCAACGTCCTTTCCTTACAATAGTGCTATTGCAGACTGAGATGACCAAGTGCTGAATGTGCCAGACTGGACATGCATCAAGTGGTGTGAGAATATACAAATGAGAAAAAGCCACATTGCTCACCCTCACCAACTTGCCTTGAGAGTATCAATAGCACACACCATAGTACAGCCCGTGTACAGACAAAGTTCCATCTTTATGCTGAGGTTATTCTCCATTACGTTGTGTGATGCTATCACAACACTGAACGAGATGAGTACAAAACAGTTCTAGCAGCTGTAAACTGGCACACTCATCCATAATGTACTGTGCTCCATCAGCAGTAGCCCTAGACATACCTGTAAACGAAATGTTATTAACCTCATGAAGCCAAAATACAAGTCTACATGCATACCCAACAGCTGGAGCAATGTGTTATGGAGGATCTAATGGGTAAAATTAGTGTTCTTCAGGTCTATTGCATCCAGTTGTGCAGAATGTTTAAGCAATTTACAAGAATAGAATATTTCACAAACAGTCCCACCCTCAATGATAGTGAAAATCCGCACATCAGTGCAAAAGACAAGGCCAAATAATCTCAGCCAGAAGTGCCAAATAGATCATCGATCTCGATCTCTTTCTGAAGTCACCAGCATCACAAATTCCAGAACTCAACTGATTTGTGTTATGCCATGAAATATTAAGAAATAGCTGAAGATGCTGGTGACAGCAAACCTGCTCCAATAGAACCTCAACATTGGCATTTACCTGATAATGCAGAAATTTGTAAAAGTATTTTCTACTGGCAACAAGTAGGTCAAATTCAGTTGGTTTGATCAGTCTACTCTCAATCACCAACAAAGCAATGGAAGATATCGATGATCGTTCTGTCAATTAACATTTACACAGCAATAACCGGCCCACCATCAACGCTTAGATTGGTTTTTCTTGGGGGTTTTGGCTCCAGACCACATGACAATATTCATCCACACATAAACAAAATAGTTACACCCACCTCACTCCTGGAATGTAACAGTCCTTGACATTAATTAAGCATTTGACTAAGTATGGCATCAGGAAGTCCTATTAAAATTGAATTTGATGTGAGTCAGAGAGAAACTTCTCAGTGTTTGGAGCATACCTGATGTAAAGAACCATGGTTGTGGTCTTTGCAAGCCAAACATTTCAGTCCAAGGACATTCCTACAGAAGTTTCTCAGGGTAGTATCCTCTGCGCAGCCATCTTCACCTGCGTCATCAATGACCTTGCCCCATGATAAGAGTGATGATATCCACTAATGATTACACAAGGTTTAGTGCTATTCACAACACCTCAATGCCACCGACAATGTTTTGCTTTGCTTTCCAGCTTCGGTTGATAAGTGACAAATAATAGTATGTCATGTAAGTGCCAGGCAATGACCATCTCCAAAAAATGAAAATCTAACCATATGAATGCAATTTGTAACTAGTTGCTAATATGCAGAAAACTATATCTTGTTAACTAACAGAAACTCTTCCACTTGAACCAGGTAGTGATTTTCCTCAACCATATTAGACCAAGCCTAGTTTCCTTGACTTAAAGCAGATGGTGACATAACCTTCATCATGAACAGCAGTTGTACAGTGTAATGAGCTAGCATGCTCCTACAATGGATATATTCCTCTAGAATCAACCTCTGCCAGTTCAAGTTAATTCTCTGTGTCTCACCAACCTTCTGATTCAACCAGAACACCTTGGACAGGACCTTAGTTGACACTCTGTTCATGAATGACTTTCAACATCCTCTTCCTTCCTTGAGACCTTTTCTACATTAAACTTCAGTATCAAATTATTGGATTTAGCAAGACTGTAGTAAGGTTAACAGGCCATGAAATAAACAAATGCTGCGACTACTGTGTGCAAAGCACTGGAAGACATGAGTTAAAATACATAAAACTGAAATTAATCTGGAGATGAGAAGATTTTTCCTAAAACTCACACAACAATGAAACCATATGAAGAACAGACTACCAGAGCTAGCAGCCAATGTTGTATTGATTAGCTCATATGAAAATTTGCTGGATAAGTATTTGGTTTCAAGTTAAAGGAATGAGGTTAAGCTGAAATGATCAAAATGTTATTGTGTTGCTGCGCTCTGGAAAAGAAAGGGCAGATGTTTCTTGTAAAAGGCATTCAAGACAAGTTTGAGCAGTGCATGGATGATCTGGAGTTTAGCTTAACACCTGTGAATTGTCTTTTTCCAAATATTTTGAACATGGGGGAAGTTCAGGATTCCATGAGGCAGGGGATATGCATTTTTTGAGTTCTTGGAAAGGTATCAAATAACAGTTTAGCTTTATGTCCTTCCTTCTTTGGGGATTAAAAAAAAATCATTCCAATTTTTCACTTCTCTACAGAAGATTAAATAAATGAAGTTAAGTCATGATAGATTTGATTGTTTGTGACAGGCCAAATGGCCTTCTTCCCTTCATACTTTCTTGTATTTCTCTGCCACGAAGTTGTTTATTTTTATGATGATTAATAGACCATTTTCAAAATGTGAGAAACCTAGGATAGGCTCAACTTCCGATCATATCCTCTGACTCCCAGGGCCAAATTCTGATCTGGGTTTGGAGGCTCATTCTGGTGTGTGACCGAACCCAGATGTGTACCATTTTCCTCTGACATTTTTGCAGGCTAAACATTCTTTAGTCTGTAAAATGCATAACTGCTCCTGCTGAGGTTTGGCTCCCTATTTTAAATAGGAGACAAATCTCAGATTTTTTCCCACACACCATTTCCATTTCATAGTATTGGACTTGGAAGCATGCCAGATTTGAGAGTTTGTGAAAAAAGTAGAAACGGGCGATAACACACTGCAGCAGCACAGAGCTACGCCAAAAGGAAGAAGAGTATCTTCCAGGTATTCAAAGACAATGGATACCCGAAAAACTGGGTCAGAAGATGCCTATCACAAGAACAACACCAGGAAGATACTACACATCCCGACACACTCATCATACTACCTTACATCAGGAACACATCTGAACTGACCACAAGACTTCAACAACCACTAGGCATCGGAGTAGCACACAAACCCACATCAACCCTGCGTCAACTGCTCATCCGGACCAAACACCCACTACCCACTATGGACAGGACCAGTGTCATTTACAAGATTCTCTGCAAAGACTGCGACAAACACTACATTGGACAAACAGGAAGGAAATTAATCACAAGGGTACACGAACATCAACTGGCAACAAAAGATACGACCAATACTCATTCATCTCCATCCACATGGATAAGGAAAACCACCAATTTGATTGGGACAACACCAGGATCCTGGGACAGGCAAAGCACAGACAAGCACGGGAATTCCTAGAAGCCTGGTACTCCACTAAGAAAGCCATCAATAAACGCATAGAGCTAGATCCCGTATACACTCCATTGCGAAGGAAAACAGGAAGTGAGGTAATCCAGCTCAACTGACACCAGAGTTTAAATAACAGGCAGGAAAACACAACAGCACTTCATCGGAGGCTGCACTGATGATGTTACCAGCAGGGTAATGAAAAGTCTGCAGAACAATGAACCAGCTCGGCGAACCAACCAACCACAACATCCAAAACCCGAGCTACAAATCTACATTAAAACCTTAGAGACCTACGCGCAAAGCACGCTCAAATTGATATGAAAATGGGAAAACTACGCCAAACGACAGAGCGCTACCTGCAAACACCTTTATTTCCTACATGGATGCCTCAGAAAGCATGTATTATCATGCAGTGTGGGATACAAACCCCCCCATCAACAACCCACAAGCTCATAAAACAGCAGAACTCAATGGCCGCAGGATGGTAAAGGTAATGATCAGTGATGCACACAACCGGCTCCACAGAGAACTTAACGTGCCAAAAAACTTTATTCCTGGAGGCTACCAACCGAGACTGGACAACGGATCTAAAATGAGCCATCAACTTCAGTCAACAGACCACAAGAGCCAGGAAAAGGCAGATACTTCAGGAAAAACTTGCCAAACTAACCCACCAAAATGACAACAACAGAGCAGACACCTGAATAAGAAACCTTTCAGACAGGAAACTGACAGACACAGAGAAAGCTGTTCTTATTCACGGACCCAACTACAACTACAGAGATGCCAACTAAACAGAATTCCTAGCCATACTGGAAGCCACACTAAAGACCAACAGCATCAATGAAGAAACACAACAAGCCATAAGACAGACAGTGATCCTGACACTGACCAGAAAAAGTGAACTCAACACATCTGAAAGGAAAGCCCTAGAAGGACTGAAAAAGCACAAAAACATCACAATATTACCAGCAGACAAAGGGCGCATGGCAGTAATACTAAACAAACAGGATTACCTCTCCAAGGCACATGCCGACAAGAACACATACTGGCAAGTACAGACAGACCCGACACCACAACTGGGCAACAAGATCCTCAACACACTAAAGAGACTCAAACAGACCGGACAGATCCACAAAACAGACTTCTTAAGAATGAAACCTGAAGGAACTAACACACCCCAATTCTACAGCCTCCCGAAAGTACACAAACTGGAAGTACCCCTTAGACCCATAGTCTCCCTACCAGGCACACCATCTCACAGATTAGCAGAGGAGCTATGTAGGAGACTAAAGCACCTTATCAGCAAGTCACTCCACTCAATCCACTCAGCCCAGGAGTTCCTCAATTCTATCAAGGACATAAGAATAGATGACGACAAGACCATGGTATCATTTGATGTTACTGCCCTATTCACATCGATAGACATACCACTAGCAAGAGAAACACTGACAACACTAATAAAACAAGAACAAGAACAAGACCCTAATGACGTCATCTCCACAAAAAACATGCTGAAGCTACTGGACCTATGCCTCACCACCCACTTCACCTTTAACGGCCAAATATATGAACAGATCAACCCATGGGATCACCTATCTCTGGACTGGTAGCTGAAACGGTGATGCAGAGACTTGAAATTACGGCCCTTCCGCTAATCCAACCAAAACTATGGATACGCTACATAGACGACACATTTGTCATCATTAAACGGACTAAACTAGAGGAGAAACACAAACTAATAAACAACACCCTCACCGGAATCAGATTCATCAGAGAGGAGCAGAAGAACAAACAGCTCCCATTCCTGGACGTCATGGTAGAGCACAGGACAAATGGGGATTTCCGAACGAAGGTACACAGGAAAGCCACACACAGTGACCAAGTACTGAATTTCAACAGCAACCACCCTAACACACACAAATAAAGCTGCGTGAGAACATTATTTAAACGGGCAACAACACACTGCAGCAGCACAGAGCTACGCCGAGAAGAAGAAGAGTATCTTCCAGGTATTCAAGGACAATGGATACCCGAAAAACTGAGTCAGAAGATGCCTATCACAAGAACAACACCAGGAAGATACTACACGTCCTGACACACTCATCACACTAGCTTACATCAGGAACACATCTGAACTGACCACAAGACTTCAACAACCACTGGGCATCAGGGTAGCACACAAACCCACATCAACCCTGCGCCAACTGCTCATCCGCACCAAAGACCCACTACCCACTATGGACAGGACCGATGTCATACACAAAATTCCCTGCAAAGACTGCGACAAACACTACATTGGACAAACAGGAAGGAAATTCATCACAAGAGTACACAAACATCAACTGGCAACAAAAAGACATGACCAATACTCACTCATCTCCATCCACATGGATAAGGAAAACCACCAATTCGACTGGGACAACACCAGGATCCTGGGACAGGCAAAGCACAGACAAGCACGGGAATTCCTAGAAGCCTGGTACTCCACTAAGAAAGCCATCAATAAACGCATAGAGCTAGACCCCGTATATACTCCATTGCGAAGGAAAACTGGAAGTGAGGTAATCCAGCTCAACTGACACCAGAGTTTAAATAACAGGCGGGAAAACACAACAGCACTTCATCGGAGGCTGCACTGATGATGTTACCAGCAGGGTAATGAAACGTCTGCGGAACAATGAATCAGCTCGGCGAACCAACCAACCACAACATCCAAAACCTGAGCTACAAATCTACTCTAAAACCTGAAAGTAGAAAGCCAGCTGAGAGACCAGAAACATTCTGAAAGGTTAGTGTAAATTGTTTTGACCTCTTCAAATTGGATGCTGGATTTCTCTGTTTTAATGGTTATTCATCATCGGGATCTGTCCTGCAAAGTTAATTTGAACCTTACATTGATTAGCATTGTGCAACTGTTGTCATGCAATGCAGTACTTTTCTGATAAAGTATCATAATTTCTGTTATAAACTGTGGAAAGGAATGTCCTCTCCTGTCATGTTTGTCATTTAATTGGATTAGCAGGTCTGGCAATTTTTTTAAAATAATGTACTCATGGTGATAGAAAAGAATGATGTGCACCTGCTCCCACTCCATTAATTGACATTTATTTCACTTTGAAATTGAAATAGATGTTTGTTCTGTCAATGGAATTGGAAGTTTTAGTTATGACAGTTAAACCATCTTAAATGCTTGGCTGGCTTTCAAAAACTACAGCTCAGCAGGTGATCTTATTAATCAAACAACTATTGAAACTTTACAAGCATATAATAAAGAACATACCATTGTGGCTTCTTGTTTGTTTACAAACATAAGGAGCATGTAAAGTATTATAAGTTTGTTCCCTTGGGCTTTTGAACTACTATCAATGATAGTAAGTTGGAATTTACAATTTTGTTAGATGGTTGGAAACTTCATACTTCTCCAATGATTTTAAAAAAGTAATTCCATTGTTACTGCATGACTCCTGAGCACTGTTCAAGTGCATCTTTGGGTGACTGACTGTGGAGGATAAATGGAGTCTTAGATGTGGGATAGTGAGATGTAATGGGAAATATGAGCTGGATTAGGAGGTGGCTGGGGGAGAGGGGTGAGTTCTGCAAGGTCTTTAAACATTTTTGGAAGCCTGACTGCACAACAAACCTGAACTCTGTGTGAAACAACAAAAATCCCTTGTGAAGTCACATGAGTCAGATGTGCATTTTGCAAGCCACAGATGTGCACAGATCAGGCTTTCCCAATTCATATGAACATTTGGTAGGTTTTGTGATATAATTCCAAGTCAGAATTGTTATACCATGTAAAGAAACTTGCAGGTCCAGGTGTTCCCATTAATCTACTGTTTCTGTCCTTCTAGTTTAGGGATGCCCAGCCTACAGCCCACAGGCCACAAACAGCTCACAATAGCATTTCATGTGGTCTGGAATCTGCTTTACTCATAGACATATTTACAGCTCATACATAGGTGTCCCATAATTAATAACTACATAAATTTACCTGAGAAGGATCATTGACTAAGAAGAAAAATTGAAAGTTTATTGTACTTTGTTTTTTTTTGTTTACTTTATGTTTCATTTGAAGCCAGATATTCAAAACCTAAGTATAAGTGGATGATTTTGCAAACAGCTGCTCTCTAATCAAGGCTTTTTCTCTCCTGTATGTGCTGTTACAGGTTTACTGGCGAGCTTATCAGCAGTAAACACAGGAGACAATCAGTCTGCGGTTGGTGGAACCGTGAGCATCCCAAGGCCTATACTCTGTGGTTGGGTCTGGGAATAGGAGCCTTTTGAGTAGTCTCTGGCTTGGGGAGGAGGGGGAAGGAGATGAAAGTTGCACCACGGGTAGAAGGCGAGAGTTAGATGGCAGAGAGCAACTGCATTCTGGGTTGTGACGGTGATGGGGGAGCTTGATAGTCGGGCCACTGGGTCTTTCCTATAAATTTTCTTTATATTTTTTTTTATTTATTTTTATCAAATTATATTTAAGTCTGACCACTTTCATTTCAGCACAAGTTTTGCTGACTGTGCCTGCCCCCCCACCTGAGAAAGAGAAAATTTGAAGCGTGTGCCCTCCGTTGTAGGTGATAAAGATCAGATGTTTGGAGAGTGCTGTTCAAATTGATGAGTTCCTTGACTGCATCTTGTAGGTGGTACACGTTGCCACTATTATCTGTCAGCGGTGGAGGTAGTAAATGTTTAGGATGGTGGATATAGTGCCAATCAAGCAGGTTGCATTGCTTTGGATGAAGTTGAGCTTCTGAGTGTTGCTGGAGCTGCATTCACCCAAGCAAGTACAGAGGATTTGATCATACTCCAGACTTGTGCATTGTAAATGTGCACAGGTTTTAGAGATGATTCTCTCACCATAGAATTCATAGCATTTCACCTAGTCTTGTAGGTACAGCAATTATATAGCTGGGCCAGTTAATTTCTGGTTAATGCTAAACCACAGGATATTGATGGTGAGGGATAGTAATACCATTGAATGTCAAGGGGAAATGTTTGGATTGTCTCTTATTGGAGATAGTATTTACCTAAATGTGGCATAAGTGTTACTTTCCACAAATCAGTCCCAGCTTGATCTTACTGAATGTGAACATAGAGTGCTTCAATATCTGAGGAGTTGAATGACACCAAACAGCAAGCATCTCCATGTCTAACTTGATGATGATGTGGAAGTGCCGGTGTTGGACTGGGGTGGACAAAATCAAAAGTTATAGTCCGACAATTTTGAAATCACAAACTTTTGAGTGCTGCTGCTTCATCAGGAGGAGTTTTCTCCCTGATGACTTCCCATTGACTTCAATTTTGTTGGGGCACCTTGACTCAACCAAATGCTGCCTTGATATCAAAGTGCTGTTTTGATATCTTGATACATTCTAACTTGCAGTGACTATCAATTCAGTTCATGGTTGACATAATGGACACATAGCCCAAAATTTCAAATGGTTTAGTAAGGTATCAACCTCGTGAGTCAGAATATGGGACTTTGGACACTCCACCTTTAAATCTAGAGCAAAATTCTGCTTGAAGCGAGGGAGGGAATAAGATACATCAACCCTGGATAAGGTTGAACCAGGTAAATGAATGGTTTAAACTATGATGATTTCATGCCCTAAAGTTCTGACATTTAAGTCCTATGATCCAATGTGTATACCGCAAGGGCAACCTGTGCCAGCAGCTGAGAAGGACAAACATTGGTAGCTTAAAAATGGTTTGCTACATTTCATTATGCTATTAGGTAAAGTGTTACGTTGATATAAAATATTGATATATATCAATATATTAAGGGGAGGCAATGGCCTAGTGGTATTATTGCTGGACTGTTAATCCAGAGATCCAGATAATGTTCGGGAGACCTGGTTTCGAATCCTGCCATGGCAGATGGTGGAATTTGAATTCAATAAATATCTGGAATTAACAATCTAATGATGACCGTGAATCCATTATCAATTGTCGGAAAAACCCACCTGGTTCACTAATGTCCTTTAGGGAAGGAAACTCCCATCCTTACCTGGTCTGGCCTACATATGACTCCAGACTCTCAGCAGTGGGGTTGACTCTTAACTGCCCTCTGGGCAATTAGGGATGGGCAATAACTGCTGCCTAGCCAGTGACACCCTCATTCCGCGAATGAGTGAGTAAAGAATAATCAATTGATATTTGATATCCATTGTTCAACTTAATAAGTTAGAATGAACAGGCTTTAAAAAGGGTCCTAAAACACTGAGTTAAAATGGTCACACGCATCACCTGACCACACAAGTGGTCAAATGTCAGGAAATTAGTGTTGACTAGCATTATATCTGGAGACAAGGAAACCAACCAGCATCACGCCTCTCTGCCGCCTCTTCCTTGAGTTTAGAAGATAATAAAATTGCTTTTCCTTTCAGTCATGAAAGCATTGTAATTGACTCTGTATTGTTTCTAGTGAAACTGTTGATTTTAAAACATTTTAAATCAGGAAAGACATAGATATATGCTGAAAAGAATTTATACATTTGTCATGGATAACCAGACAGGTTGGAAAGACAGGAGCCAATTCACCCTTCCATGCCTCATAGCAAAAAGCTAATATTTTTACCATGGATTGAGCTTTTCTAAAAAAAAACTTGTTGCTTTTTTATTGGAAGATTCTAATTACATTTGGAGTTAAGAGCAGGATTTTCCTGTCCCAGAGGAGGTAAGAAGGCAGGTAGGTGAACTAAATTAGGTAAGAGGCAATAAATTAAATTCTTGGACGGTTTATTAGAAGGGGCTCTTGTGGTGCACAGGTAAAGTCCCTATCCCTCAACAAGGAGGCTTGAGTTCAAGTCCCACATGCTGCAAGGCTGTGTAATTATATCTCTGAAATGGTTGATTAGAGAAATAGGTTAAATAAAAAAAAAGTTCTTGCTGTCAAGCTGAACTGTAACATTTAATTTCCCAAAGCTCAAAAAGAGACTTGACCTTCTTGCCGTCAGACATCGATAAGCTTGGCTGCATGCGTCAGCATTTTATTAAAAGCCTAAAATCAATTGGAATTAACCAATAAGGAGCCAACTATGTGGTTTTGTGGAGTTAAGTAATATACCACATACAGCCACACCTAGAGTAGTGGTGAATATTACAGTTAAGTTTTAAGGTCTTGATTCTCTAATGGTTCTTTATAGTTAGTGTTATCAAAACAGCTGCCTGCTTCTCCTCGGAAGAGATCAAGAGACCTTCTCAGTCACTGTTCAGTTCTTTATCCTCATCTCCATATCTTCTGTTCCGTCAAAAATACCTCCTTATTATGACAGCTAATTTGTATAGTCTGCTGAAGTTGTTTTTTATGCTTGGTAATTGCAGATGCTGACTCATCTCCAGCATGAGAATGTTTTGATAATAGTGTAAATGTATTCAGAGGTAAAAGATTTTCCAGATCTCCCATGGACATGGTTGATGGTTTCAATGACCTTATAGAACATGTTCATTTCTCCTCAAACTGTCCTCAGTTTAGTCCGTACCATGAAATTTGGCCAACATTTGTGGATTAGGTGAGCCCTGTGTCAATGGTTTGATCCCTTATTAAAACATTTCACTTCAGGAAAATCTTAGGTATTATACCGTTGTGATTCAGAGTTCAATAGCTGGGAATACCTCAATATATCTATTCCATAGGAATGATGTTTCAGGAGCTGCCACTTGCTTCCCTTCAGTAAACAAGAACAATGACAACCAGCTATTAACCTCAACTGTGTAACTAGTACAATGTTCCATTGTGGAAAAGAGACCAGCAATGTTCATAATCAAGTTGATCTGAGGTGTTGATAGCAATGGAGAAAAAACAAACAAAAATGCTTATGTTAACATTATACCCAATGAGTCAGCCATGACTGTCAACCATATATGCTTTTAGATAAGTGTTCTAATAATCTCAGTTCCAAAGTCCAGAATATCATGTTAGTGAAGTCTCTCAGATGGAACACCTTTTAACCATCATCTGTGACAAATGTGAAGATTATAAGATTATAATTTGTGGACTATATCTTTTGCTTTTTAATATTATTACAGTTTGGATTTGGACTGTATCTTTAAGTGTAGATTAAATGAAAGGGATCATGTGACATGCTGCTACCTATCTGAGTGTTAAATATCAAATGGATGACTAAGTTGTTTCGTTAAGAGGGAGTGCCAAATATCAATTAGGGATGGTGGCAGTTGTTTCTAAGTCCACTATGGGAAAGGCTGGTTACTACATGCTGTCAGCGGATGCATTTTCAGCAGAGGGTAGGTGCATAAAATGAGGTTGGTGCCCAGCCCACCGCCTTCAACTCACCCTGAATGCATCCACAAAAACAGAGGCTCGGCAGATGCCTGCCATATGCAAATAAATAAGGGTCAATTGACCTTATTACAGCTCACCTAACCCAAATATCACCCCACACATTCCATAATACAGTTGGTGTCAGCAGGAGGATGAGATTAGCAGCCCCTTTCATGACAAAAAGACTTTTCAAACAGTGGGAAGGAAGGGAGTACTATATTTGGACATCGGAAACACGTACCTCCCTACCGTCCTCCCAATCAGATTTTAAAACCCATCTCTCTACATTTGTCGCCAAACAAAAAAAGTATTTTGTTAATAATATACCTTTGTATTTGCCCCAGTAAATGTTATAAAATGTGACATTTTTATTGTGTGTCCTTCTTTCAGCTAATAACTATTTGTGTTGAACTTTCCCATTTTTTTTTAGCAATGTGCTTTTTCAGGTTAGGTTCACTGTAGTGATTGTAATGAGATCAGCCATATGGACCTCATAGATTATGAGTTCCATGATTGGGGCTGTTAATCTGATCCAATCAGGGAGCCCTGGCTGACAGTTATAAACAGGAGAGTCAAACGTTCTGTTCACTCTGACAGCTCGCTCTAAGGATGCTGGATCAGTGTCAAGGACTCTCCATGTGTAAATAAAGAGTGACTTGGTGACAGGATACTGACCTCGGTGGAGTTATTTCATCCACCATGGCTCATGTCAATTTTCCTCACACAATTTTCCACTCTTCGTCTCATTAATTACACAACTAGTCTGTTTAGTGCACATCTTGTGGAATCATGCGGCAGAAAAGCCAGAAGTGCTTGCCGCTGACAGGACTTGGAGATACACACCATATCTCAACCCATCTGCACAGTCCTTCAGATACTGCAAGCCAGGCAGTGCTCTTTACGCTGTGGTGTCCAACCATCATCACTAAGAACCCTGCTCAGAAATAAAGCTAGGACTTTACTTCACTGAGCAGGATCTGGAAGAGTTTCTGGTGTGGGAGCTGAAAAGGAAGGCAGTGATTTTTCATACCAACCTGCAAAGGAGGGCATGCCACCTAACTCGGCCAGCCTGGAACAAGACAGCAGCAGCTTCTGGCAAGATGGTGGCAGAATGAGATGCTCCTGCCAAAGCTCCTCTGTTCTGCCAGTTCTTTTTCTTTTTTTCTCTCTCTTTTTCCCTCTTTTTAGAAGCAAATCCTGGAGCAGCAACAGGCATGTGGAGAATGTCCCAGAGCAGCACACGGGCAGCGCGTCCCGGAGCAGCACAAGGGCAGCGAGTCCCGGAGCAGCACACGGGCAGCGAGTCCCAGAGCAGCACACGGGCAGCGCGTCCCGGAACAGCACACGGGCAGCGAGTCCCAGAGCAGCACACGGGCAGCGAGTCCCGGAGCAGCACACGGGCAGCGCGTCCCGGAGCAGCACATGGGCAGCGAGTCCCAGAGCAGCACACGGGCAGCGCGTCCCGGAGCAGCACACGGGTATCGAGTCCCGGAGCAGCACACGGGCAGCGAGTCCCGGAGCAGCGCACGGGCAGCAAGTCCCGGAGCAGCACACGGGCAGCGCGTCCCGGAGCAGCACACAGGCAGTGCGTCCCGGAGCAGCACATGGGCAGCGCATCCCGGAGCAGCACACGGGCAGGGTGTCCCAAAGCAATGTACGGGCAGCGACTCCTGGAACAGTGCACGGGCAGCAAGTACCAGGCAGAGACTGTTGCGGAGGAGGCAGCCCTGGAACTTACCTTGGAGCAGCTGAATGCTGGTACGGAGCGGACTGGGGCTTGGAGTGGAGCAGGGATGGCTGTTCAACTGGGGTCTGGTGTGAGCAGTCAGACAACTTGCGGAGGCCCTGCACTGAGCTGCTACAATGTAATGTATATTTGATATTTTTTATCTGACTGTTACGTCAATCCTTTAATGATGTCTTATTTCTAACTTTATTTTAAACTCTGTAAAATAATGCAACTACTTTTTATTCCTCTTTTGTATCCAAGATTTGTACCTCGATACTTGTACCTAAGATGGTGCCATAAGAGGCAGACAATGTAAAAGCTTTTCACTGTGCTTCTACAATTGAGTACACATGACAATAAAGGATATTCTATCCTATTTTATTCTAGTGTCAGTCAATTATGTGCCATAACTTTAAAAAAAATACACACAGCAGTGCAGAACAAAGGTTATTGATCTGAATTCCACAAACATAGATGCCAGATGCCATCATCTTCTCTCTCTACTTCACACTCACAGGGCCACCACTCATTTGAACTCTGCCACTGCATATCCATCTCATCAAGTCCCATGCGTGACATGCATACAGCAGGTCCACTCAAGAGCCCTCACCCTCTTCTTCCTTCTAAATTACTAAACTTGGCTGCCGTCTGTCCTTCTTCCTATTTACTCTGTGGGGACATCTCACCACCTCCCTTACCCCTGCATTATGAGTAACTGCTGTCCTTTCCATTTCCATTACACCGAACCCTCTTTTTGTTTCATTGCAGTAAAATTGCCTCATAACCAGGCTAAGAGATGAAGACCAGCAGAGAAATGGTGAACTTAAGGCTCCTTACACCCTATGAGGAGTAGGTATTAAACTTGGCCAGAGGAGAATGCAAAGACACATGAGAATGCAGAGACTTCCATTGGCAAACAACCCATTGAAATTCATTGTGCTTGCTGCACTGCTGTCCCATGACCACCAGTGCAAACTCATTCTTAACCTGTGTAAGCTTTTATCCTTTTACACAACTGATCCCCTTTCTTCTTTTCTGTAGGCACTACTGGCACCCAGTGAACCTTTGCCTAGAAGAGGCCAATGTTGAGATTCTCCACTTCACCCACATCTCTGAGGAGGAAGACACAATGCCCTCAGCAAGGCTTTCACCTGCCCCCGAGACATTCGCCCTGGAGGATTTTCTAAATGGTTTAAACTCAGGAACAATCTGATGAGCACTCTATCAACTTATTTCCTCAGCTGGTCAAGGAAGAAACGACCCAGGTTGCTGGCTCTCAGAGGACTACCACAGACCAGTCACCTGCTCAGCCCCAGGCAGAAGATGGCCCCATGATCTCAGCTGTTAATAACTTTCAACAAAGTGTGCAGACAGAACAGGAACAACAGGCAGGTTTGTCAGAGGCAGTCAAGAAACTGAAACAAAGAATGCAGAAGACCACCAACATTTATCAGCACCATATTTGCTCCAGCATACTAATGTTTGGCTGCCTCCATGGACAGGTTGGCAATCACCTTGGAAACACAGGTCCAGCATACTCAGTGTCTGCTAGGTATGTGCATGGACCTACACTCCATTGAGCTAGCCATTGATGCTCAGCAATAATGGCAAGGCGAGAGGGGGACAAGGAGCCTTGACTTCACTCCAGGTGCCCCAATCTCTCAGGGAGACAGTGTGGTGCCAGGAAACACCCACCGAGAGGAAGATCCACACACACAAGCATTCTTGTGAGATGGTCCAGATGTGCCCAGCCCCTATGCCTCTCTCTGCCAGAAATCCCAGCCATGTGGGGTGAACCTGCACCTGTGTAGCTTACTGTAAGTGAGCCTAGGGTCTCTAGGCCCAAACGTCCCTGAGGACAACCGGACTGGACAAGCCTTCCAGGCTAACTGGGCCAACAGCAGAGCTTCCACACCTCAGCTGTGGAAGTCAGGACTGCACTTCAGCATCATGGAACGGAGAGGAAGAAAAGTCATATTCAGGGCACATAGGTGGCGCAGTTGATACATCATTGTAAAGTGTCTTGCACTCTGCAAGTATATATGTACTTGCACTCTTGCAATATCTGCTTTTGTGTCTTTGACAGGCCTGGTGAAGCCATGTTTATTTGAGGGATGAGCAGCTTCTTCAGAAATCCCAAGGATAAAAGAGGTTATAAAGGCCTCGCATTGCTCATCTGCCACAAGTAGCCAACTCCTTGAGTGCAGGTAGCCTCAGACATCAGGGATCCTTGAACTGTGATATTAATGGCTACAGCCAAAGTGTGCACTATAATGTGGCCAACATTGAGGCTAAAAGTAATGCGCAGGACTGACCTGTCCCATTTTCTACACTTACAGAAACTTTGTTAGATAGAACACAGAATCAGTCATAATTCCACATATGTCTGGACGTAAAGGTTCATTCTACCTGTTAGCTTGTCAGGGCAATGCATTGCCATTCAATGTTGGAAGGTGTGCAATGGAAAATTCACACATCTGTTCTTCCTGATGCACAGCAGTCTGATGGGAAAAGCTACACAAAGCACTGCCTCTTGCAGGTTCAGTGCAGCCCTACAGTATACTCAAGCATTTCAGGGCAATTTTACAGCCCTCATGTGGTCTGAAACATTGAAGGCTAACCAATGATGGAAAGATGAGAAGGAAGGGGAGGTGATGGCCTAGTGGTATTATCACTGGACTGTTAATCCAGAGACCCAGATAATGTTCTGGGGACTAGGGTTCAAATCTAGCCATGGCAGATGGTGGAATTTGAATTTGATAAATATCTGGAATTAAGAGTCTAATGATGACCATGAATCCATTGTTACTTGTTGGGAAAAACCCATCTGATTCACTAATGTCCATTAGGGATGTGACTCCAGACCCACAGCAATGTGGTCGACCTTTAATTGCCCTCTAGGCAATTAGTGATGGGAGATAAATGCTGCCTAGCCAGCGACACCTTCATCCCCTGAATGAATAAAAAGAATAAAGAAAGCACCTTATGATTGCCAACCTGCTGCCTACCATGAGAGACTTCATTGCACAACACTCTGATGTCATATGGTGACTGAAACCTTAAAAGCCACCTAACCACAGCATGATGTGCAATTAGTGTCTTACTGACTGCTGCTTTCTCCCTAATAGAGGATCTGTAAAGTGTAGATACTTGAAAGTTTTTAAAAGAATAGAGAGAGCTTCACACTGCATCTAAGTCCACACCTTACATGTCCCAGGAATGTTTGATTGGGACAGTGTTGAGGGAGCTTTACTTTCAGTTTAAAAGAGTTTATACTTGAAAGCGGGATCACCCAACATACAATCAGATGGATAAGAAAACTTTTATTCAGCAATAGAAAAGTTCAAATAACAGGTCCATGTGTACATTGTATGACCAGAGACAGCTTGCCATATAACCAACTGAAAGTGACACAATAAACAGTGTTCCAGTGAATCACAGTGCAAACTGGAGGAACAACATCTCCTCTTCAGACTAGGCACTTTACAGCCTTCTGGATTTAATGTTGAGTTCAACACCTTTAAAGTGTGAACCATTTCTTCCCTTTCCTTTAGGTTGTTATCATGTCCTTCCTCCCCCAATCTCAGTTACTGTCATTTCAAGTCTGGCAGGAGACACACCATTGTTCTGCCATTCTCACATTCTGATCACTTAATCTGAACTAACAACATCCGTACTTTACCAGGACCCTACACCCACTAACCCCAACCCCCCAAACTATAGCATAAATACTGTCCCCTCCAAACTTACTTCAGCTCTGATGAAGAGTCATCTAGACTTGAAATGTTAGTTTGCTCTCTTTCCATGGATGCTGCCTGACACACTGTGATCTCCAGCATTTAAGTTCTTTCTGGCTTCTTTAGCTCAATAATGCATTGATCTGTCATGCTGTCTTGGATGAACGTCCCAGTCAATGATCTGATCCTCCTTCTCATCTACATCCTCAGAAGATTGCTGTCAATCCACTGTTTTCTTGGTTCCAAGATATTCTTCCTTTGTTTGCACCAGTTGTAAAAGGCATGGCGTGACACAGTGATGCAGCAAGCTCTAGCCGTGCTATATTGCAAGACCCCACCAGAGTGATTAAAACCTCATGTTAAGAAAACCTATTGTTGTGTAATGCCTTGAAACAGATATAGATATACCTTCAAGTGACAAGCTCGTGATGTTATCATCATATCATCATATCACATCATGTGACCTAATGCTATATAGCTCTATTCTGTTGCAACATGACACTGTGTGGGAAACATACTACTGTACATTTAACTTGAGTCCAGTCACACAAGTGCCTATGATTGTAGTATGTGGTATTGATATGTAGATATCAGGAGCTATGTTGGAAATTCATTAAAGTCTTCAGTAATATATGACCCATGTCTCACCTTATGTTACGAGAGCTCACATAAGTATCATGGTGGCAGCATAATAGTAAGCTTCAGCAACATTTTATAAAAGAATCTTCGCAAAAAATTAGACAGACCTGGATCGTAAAGCATTTAGACAACCAACCGCAATTGATTTATGTGAGTACAGATCACCAACTTAAATAGCCAGGAGGCAGAATTACCTTTTTTTCTACATAAAGTTTAAGACTTTTTCTATGGTCTATTCCACTACGGCCCTCATGAAATTGTGAGCACTAATGTATCTTTCTTCTGACTCACTTTGAGAGTTTTGCATAGGTGTCATCAGCCATGTATGTAGGAGGTAGCCCTTGTCTCCCAATGCCATCCCTTTATGACCTAAGGATCTTGGATGGATGAAGAATCTGAGAGTTTTCTAGTATGTATGCATCATGGTAACTCCTAGATTATAAAGTGCACACATCCAGATTATGGCATTAATGATCACAGATTATTTCCAGATTTATAGAGTGGATGCCTCTGCTGTTGACAATCTCTGCCAGTTGGTGCTAGGGCCCTCTCAAAGCAACGTGGGTGCAGTTTATAACGCCCGACATCTAGGAGAATTCAACAATGGTGGAGAAGCCCACTGCCCAAGCTGTTCAACTCTCATTATCGGGGAGATGTCTTTAAACATGTGTAATTTGAAAGAACTAGCATCAGTAGCAACCAAATTAGGATGCAGTTGTGTTTCAAGGATTAAGACATGCCACACAGGTCTCCAATTGCTCTTTGAAGCAAGTTGCTAGCATAAAAATTCAAGGCAGCTGTAACCTTGTGCAAACTCCACACACAGACAGTCACCCGAGCGTGGAATCGAAT